ATAGCGCAGACCATAAAAGCAATTGCAAACGATAACATAAAAGTAGTGCATACATTTTACATTTAGGAGAAGGTTAATTAGCCAGGAATCACTGGTCAGATAATATTAACAGAAGGGCGACATAGGACGCGTATGCGTAATGTGGTCAAAACGAAAAATGGCCCTTGACGAAATCAAAGGTGCCAAAAACAAGCCTTGGAGGAAGTCTTTGATAATTGATTGCTCGTTAATGTGAGCTATCTCATGTTGGAAATCAGCATGCACACCGACCTCCACACGGCCTTTGTGGATCTGACTAGAGTCTTCGACACCGTGAACCATAAAGGGCTAGGAAGGATCATGCTGAATGGAATGTAGTGTGTGAATGCCGATGTGGGAGATAAACGCTCATCGAGCGGTTTCAGAACTCATTCGTCACGTTGTGGCTTTGGGCTCTCTCTCGAGCTTCGCTAGCGGTCGTACAGCGGCTAAGGATATAGACATAATAATATTACCGACAAATACATGGGAGAGTGTTTTAATGCAGAGGTACCTATGGCCTCAGGATCTCCCATGACAAAAACTAGACACTCCGATTAATCCAATTCTAGTCTATCACAGGTTTCAAGATGTTAATGCGCAATATCGGACCTCCGTGTGGTGTCAGAGGTTCGCCTATATCTGAACGCAGTAAACTCTTCGAATGGATCAGGGTAAATACGTTTGAGTAACTGTCTTCGTCACTTTACTTTAACAAAACAATAGAATATAACCCAATATTTGCAACAGGTGAAAATGTGCGAATCTTTCGCTCTGTGTAAATGCAAGTACAAACCGCTTGTCAGAGTGGTTTCGAAGGAGTCAATAAACACTTGGGAAATAATCACCATATTCGCAGATCATCAAGTAAACAGTGACGATTATTAATATACTAAAATGTAAAGCTGTATGCATGCAAGAACCCTACAGGTGCGCTATGGAGCAGCTCGACAAACTGTGAGGGACAGCACAAGATCTGCAAAACATAGGTCTGAGCTTTCTTACAGCACCTACAGTGGGACTATGGGAAAAAATTCTTATCGTAGCCGAATTACTTTTTTTCCCACAGTATACAGTGCGATGACCAATAAAGCATAAATTACCAGTGATATGCCTTGTCCTGGTCAGCAATCTCATTCTGTAAAAAACTACTGATTATAATTCAATAACCACCTAGAAGTAGTATGAAATGTGACGCAGAAGACTTGTCGGGTTGCAAACAATCGCTTTATGTATAAAAGGAAAATATGCGTAAGCACAGTACGGCGCTCCCAGTCGCACTGACAATACTAACAATATAAAAATTCTCCCACCATTGACAGGCACCGATTTATGAGTTTGCCTTAAAGACTTGTTGGGAATTGTTTAAGGATCTCATCGTAACACTACCTTTTGATAAGTGTATAAGATGACGACAAAAGCAACTATGTGGTAGAAAAGAGGAGGAAAGGGAAAGGAAGAGGGACCACGTCTGAATATATAAATTGTCCGCAGTCAGCAGAACGACAGAGGTACAACAAAATAAGCAAGTTTGGTGGACGTATAAGTTGTCTAGAACAAATAAGCGAATAAAAGTTTTGAAAAAATATGGATTCTGCGAACATCCTGGGATGAGACTTTGACATAAGTAGTTAATTAGGCAAGCATACAATCTTCTTAACACGATTTTCAAAGAATGGGTGTATGAGGGGAATCACGAGAATAAACCCGAAAGGTTAATTCCAAACGAAAACGTAACCGGTTTAAAGTTTGGCAGAAGTTAGCTTAAAAATTGGTCTAAGGCATAAAATGTTGACACATGACGCAGAAATCAAGCATATCGAAGGTAAAAAATGCTCTTACCTTTTAAGTCGTCTTTATTGCGAGATGGCTCACTTTTCTCAACTATTCCGAGCAGATCTTTGACGCAATTTGCACGAACTTCAACCAACTTATCGGTGAGGCCCATTTTTTGAATGTACCTAGGAATAAAAATCCGAGGTTCACACATACTGTCGAAGACGTAGACGTTCTTCTCGACTGACAGCGTCATCTCGGGAGCTTTTAGAGACGTCTGAGGATGTATTCGCTTCGTCGGAGATATGATCGGTAGCTTCAACCCCAATCTCACTTGACTGTCTCAATAAATAGTTTTTACAACGCTCCTTTTGAAGGGCGAATTCGAGCATTTTTATACGACGGACGAGGTCATTCTTCAGATTTTCTTGTCCCTTTTTTTCATTCTGAAGGAGAGCGATTTTTGACTAACAAATAAGGTTAAAGATCTTGAAACCTGTAGTTCGGCGCGTTCATATTCCCACTTTGATCTCTCGATGCCCATTTTCACCCACTCATTCTGTAGGAAATTTAGGATACCGATTATATTGTATTCAAGCGATTGTGGTCGCTCAGATAAGTTATGCTGTTCCAGTTTAGCATTTTCATCACCGAAATTGCTAACACACTGTCCATTCATTGTGGACACCCTCACAGCCGAAAAACTAATCACCATCACATGCAACGTACCGACACGTCCGGAGCAATTCCGTTATCACGGCTGACCAAACGAATTTAGAAGCTCAGCGATGATACCCATGTAAGCATTAAGGAAGTCAAGTTAAGCGAACGAACGTTTTAGATTAATTCATCATCAAACAATACAGTAATATAAGGGAGGGTAGAGTTAACGAAATTTTTAGGCAAACCAATCAGTAGTAACAAGGGGGAAGAGGGGGGAGAGAGATGTAAAGGGATCAAGGGGGGATCAAGGGGATCAGATTTTAGTTTTAATTGGGACCAGAGAAATGGGGGTGGGAAAGGGAGGAAGGGGAAGGAGTCCGACAATTAGTTAATGTCATCCCGTGGTCCTCGTCT